TGACATATACACCTGTTAAAGAAATAAATAGTGGTTTCCGTGTCAGTTTGGATCTGACATATACACCTGTTAAAGAAATAAATAGTGGTTTCCGTGTCCGTTTGGATCTGACATATACACCTGTTAAAGAAATAAATAGTGGTTTCCGTGTCCTTTTGGATCTGACATATACACCTGTTAAAGAAATAAATAGTGGTTTCCGTGTCCTTTTGGATCTGACATATACAGCTATTAAAGAAATAAATAGTGGTTTCCGTGTCCGTTTGGAAAATTTAAGAAATAATTCATCATGTTCATGGAAGCCATAGATTTGTTAATTGGACATTTACACATGGCCTGGGTCGTGATATTCGTTAATTTTATCCCTCGCTAACGCTCAGGATAAAATTCGATTATCACGGCCCAGGCCATGTGTAAATGTCCAACAAATCTATCTATGGCTTCCATGAATTATTTCTTAAATTTTCTGTTTCCTGATAAGATCTGTAGGACTGTATACATAAAGTTTGAAATTTACTAGTAGGACTGTATAAATGAAGTTTGAAATTTACTGTTCATTATTAGACATTTTGTAGATAATTAAGTCTCCCTAAACCATATATATTCTTAACCCCACCCGCCTTCTGTTCAGTTTGAGAATGTGCTTTTATCTTGTTAACGGTCGAGATCCCCACCGCTAAACCATATATATTCTTGAATGGGACAATAAAACAAATCAAATGAAATATTGGAGGAGTCCCCGGGTTCACCCCCACCCCCCTTCTTTTTGAAAACTTGTAAATGGTCAAGATCCCCACCCTGAAACCATATATATTCTTGTATGGGACAATAAAACAAATCAAATGAAATAAAAGGTGAGTCCCCTGGGGTCACCCCCACCCCCTCCTGTTTGAGAACTTGTAAACGGTCGAGATCCCCACCCTGAAACCATGTATATTCTTGTATGGGACAATAAAACAAATCAATTGAAATATTGGATGAGTCCCCAGGTGCACCCCCACCCCCTTCTTTTTGAAAACCTGTAAACGGTCAAGATCCCCACCCCGAAACCGTATATATTGTTGTATGGGACAATGAAACAAAGCAAATGAAATAAAAGGCGAGTCCACACCCTTGGGGTCCCCCCACCCCCTCCTGTTTGAGAACTTGTGAACGGTCGAGATCCCCACCCCTAAACCATATATATTCTTGTATGGGACAATTAAACAAATCAAATGAAATATAGGGGAAGTCCATTGGGGTAACCCCAACCCCCTTCTTTTTGAAAACTTGTAAACGGTCAAGATCCCCACCCCGAAACCATATATACACATGTATTCTTGTATGGGACAATAAAACAAATTAAATGTAAAATGAAATAAAAGGCGAGTTCCCTGGCCCTGGGGATCACCCCCCCCCCCCCCCCCCCCCCCCCCCTTTTTGAGAACTTGTAAACGGTCGAGATCTCCACCCCTAAACCATTTATATTCCTGTTCGTCATTTCAAGAAGATTTGAATAACATACAGGGTCAATCCATAGGCGTCACTTATGCATATCACAAACCAATTAATACTGGACTTTGCCCAATGTCAGGCAACCATGGGAATGACGAATTATTGGAGCTTTGTTTTGGAGACTTCATAACAGCATCCTGTTACAATTATTTCTTGTTACTGATAAGTTATATAGATTTTGAAAAGACATTGTATTAATGATGAATAAAATTTTGGATTTTTTTCTACTTTTCTTTGGTAAATTGTTTGAAGAATTTTGTGGCAGGTTTGTTTGTTATTTTGTAAAAACCAATTTTCTGAATGCTATATATTTTTTTTTTTTATGAAGTGAACTCCTTTAAAAACTAAGCTTATATTGTCTATTAATAAACATATATTTAGATTTCTGATTTTGGGCCCAGTTTTCAAGTTGGTCCAAATTAAATCAGGGTCCAAAATTAAACTGTGTTTGATTTCAAAATAAATTGAATATATATAGGGTTCTTTGAAATGCTTAATCTAAACCTGTATTTCTTTTCATTATTAACATGATTAATAAGATAATACCACATTAAGGTCCAAAGGGTCCTAAATTAAACTTTTGTTTAATTTCAGCAAAAATTGAATTCTTTGGTTCTTTGATATGCTGATTCTAACAATGTTTGAGTGTTAACTCACAACTAATTTTAGAGAACTTAGTCATCACTGGTTGTTGTTATTATATTATTGATTATAATTTGAAAAATTGCATCATATCTTATTTCAGAAAACTATTTATCCATTTCGAGTTATTTCCCTTTGCACAGAAAATAATGGATAAAGTTAACCTGTGATTCATTTCAACATAAATTAAATATATATAGGGTTCTTTCAAATGCTGAATCTAAACCTGTATTTAAATATTAGATTTTTGGGCCCAGTTTTCAAATTGTTCCAAATCAGGGTCCAAAATTAAACGTTTGATTCAACAAAAATTGAATTCATGGGCTTCTTTGAAATGCTGAATCTAACCATGTATTGAGAGATTTGGGCTTGTGGGCTCCTTTATCAAATTGGTCCACATTGAGGTCCAAAGGGTCGAGATCTGAATTAAACTTTTGTCTGATTTCATCAAAAATTGAATTCTTGGGGTTCTTTGATATGCTGATTCTAATATGTACTTAGATTTTGGATATTGGACCATAATAGGTAAATGTCCAATTTCAAATATTTCAGTTCTTTGACCACATTCATTTTGTGTCACAAACCTATGCTGTGTCAAATATTCAATCACAATCCAAATTCAGAGCTGTTTTAAGCTTAAATGTAGTGTCCATACTTGCTCAACTGTCTCGGTTTCGACCTTTGCATGAAAATCCCGTTTGCTGTCACTCTGACGGCCTCTTGTCTTAAACTATAAGCCATAGGTCAACTGTGTTTGGTGTATGGAATAATTGTAATGTTTACAAGTCTGTCTGGCCAGTATCATCTGACCCTGACCTCATTTTCATGGTTCATAAGTCAATGATAAGTTTTCATGGTTAAGTTTGTTTCTTCGATACTATATTTAATACGTCAACTATATTTGATCCATGGAATGATTGTAAAGTGTACATGTCTGTCTGACAGGGTTCATCTGACCTTGACCTCATATTCATGGTCCATTGGTCAATATTAAGTTTTCATGGTTTGGTATGTTTCTTGTATACTGTAAGCAATAGGTCAACTAAAAATTATTCAATGTATGTAATGATTGTAAGGTACGTACATGTACATGTATTTCTAGCTTGGTTTATCTGACTTTGACCTCATTTTCTTGGTTAATGATAAGTTAATGTGACACTTGTTGTAAAACTTTGTGTATAGTGCTTTCAACGTGAAATCAATGGTAGCTATAGCAGGTGAGACATTTCAGCAGGTGCACTCTTGTTATAATTAATGAAGGATAATTATTTTGGAAGGTCCTCAACAAAGTTCATGGCCTGTGAGTAAAATGGTGCTCCTGTGTTATCATCTTGGCTAGCCAATGGTTACGGTCCCGCCCCCTTCTCCACCCTTGGCAGATTAAGTCAGAATTTTATATCCTCAAGATAATAATTTCCATTGGTCACAGTTGTGACTACTGTAGCTGCATCCAATCAAAAAAGGCTTTTAAGAGGAACACATAAGAATGTAGAAAATGTGAATATTAAACAATTGACACGTGCAGTTTGTACCTGAAGTCTTTACCCCCATAGCATAGGACAATATATGAGGTTCTTGGATATGTTCCTAGTGCAAATGATGAAATGTCAATGTATTATATATATGTGGTTTTTGCTTTACAAAATTTGTAATTTAACACCTTTGAAATAAAAATAGTCCAAGTACTCTCATTGGCTTAGAATGTTGTAGTCAGAGTGGGTATGACTTCTATCTGCCACTAGATGGCGCAGCGCCATATTCACAAATTTTGTCTTTAACCACCAACATGACCAAGGATGGAGAGGAGGCGGCCTGATCGTAACTCTTTGCTTGCATAGATGTTCCCTTATTTACATTTTATTTGCAAATAATGGCTGGTCTTTCATGAACAGACAACATGTTATTTAAGGTTACCTTGGGCATCAAATTAGCTAAAGGCAAAGAAGCTTCAAGGGATTGAGTATTCATAATCTATACAGAATTCTCTAAGTTTGTACCAACATAATTCATTTATTATGTAAACAGGTATCAGCACTCTGTATCTTTAATGCATATGAATGATTTAGCTAAACTAAAACATATAAATTTATAAACAATTTTCATTAAAAATTGTTGTATTAAGCATGTTATAGAACCACTAGTGGTATGATAAACTAAGATACCACTTAAGTTTTGATTCAATGCATCAGCTGTCTGCACAATCTGACAATTTATGCTTCCACCTTATACATTTTACAGGTTGGGGAGGATCCTCATTTATGGGTATTATACCCTATTAAAAACAGGTATCAATTTTCAGTGATAAAAATATAAACTTTGGATTTAAAGATATTCTCTGTCATGGCGCAAACATTCGGGTAAAGGACAACATTTTGCCTAAAGACATCATTATCTTTGTATTCAATTCTTGTTTGAACAATGGTCTTAAAGGGAAAATTGTTGCCATTTATATGAATATTTGCTCCATGCATATGACAGCTATTATGATGAAATACAAAATTCGATTTTTTATCACTGTAAATTGATACCCAATTTTGGGTATAATACCCATAAATGGGGATAGTACCCATTTATGAGGATTCTCCCCAACCTGTTTTAGTGTTGACAGAGGGAGTTAAACCTCTTCTGAATACAACAATAAAACATTGTATTTAGATACAAAGTGAAGTTATCTCCCTTCCTGGCTTACATTTCATCTTTCTTGAATCAGACACAATATATTTTCAATAAAATAACTCATACTGTATGTACTGAAAAATATAATTTAAATTATGTATCTTGTTTCATGAGATATTATTTATAAAAACAGTGTTTTGTCAGATAAATTGTTAATTAAGGAGAGTAACTCTACTTTTTCAGGTATATATGGTGAAAATACAAGATCAGCACTAAGGTTAAAGACGGATAACAGATATTTTGTTAATTCTATAATAGGTATGCAATTAATATTATTTTGTTTTACATTCACTTGTTCCTTCTGTGAATGTCTAGTGATTGGGAAAGCTATATTTAGGACAACAAGAACTTTAACAAAAAAAACTAGTAAAAGGCCTACGGGCATGACGGGTGGATTGATTGCTATGTACACAAGACGTTCACTCAGATCTACAGCTATTACCGTCAAAAGTGATGCTGGTTTGTCATATAGGAGCATAATGTACATGTCTGACCATGAGGAAGGTCTGATTAATCCTATAGCAGAAGACCAAGGACAAAAGTATAAAATCTATTTCAGCAGTACTTGAACTACTTGCCCCTTCTAGTTCTACCCCCATTTCTACCCTTCCAAACAATGTCAGGTAAAACATAAGTGAATAATCTGTTCCTTTGAACAAAATCTCTTCTTCTCAATTGATATACCAAAATCAGAACTTTCTTGTTACTTTAACAGGCAGTCCAATCTTCAAACACATCAAACCAGTAAAATTTCTGGATTTGCAGCAAATTCCATATTTCAAACCTCTACTTTTAATTTCAACCAACACTTTTGAATTGTGAGCTGTGTAGTTAATGATTTCCTGTGAAGCTTACAGTGTTGTGTACTGATCACCTGTCATGCCTCATGGCACGGGTTACAAATGTGGATTATTTGATGATTTAGCAATTAAATATTTACATTGAACATTTTTGTTGTTATATTCTTGTTTCTTTTTGTGTTTAAACAAAATTATTTACAAAAATCTGTTGTGAATACTTACAGTCAGGGGTACTACTTGTACAAGTAATCTTTATTTACTTGAAGAAGTAAATAAAATATACTTATACAAGTTAATTATATTGTTTGAATAATCTCCCCTTAATTTTCTAAAAAATTTACTTGCATAAGTAAATTTTTTTACAATCCCACAAAAATTCTCAAGTTTTGAGATGTAAAAGCATGCCTTTAAAAATTTTTCTCAGGTTAGCTCATAATTTTTTATAAGAGTTCAATGTTTCATCTCATTAATTCAACAAAGAAACTGATTGAGCAAAGAACTTAAGTATTTGCGCAAGGCCTTCAAAAATTGCTCCTTGGGGGCTTGTAAATGATCAGTGTTCTAAAGATAACAGACAAATGAGATTTTCATTGTCCATGAAATTACACTTAAATGAATAGTAAAGACATCTGCAAAGGACAGACAATTCAAAATTCTGTTAGAGCAAAGAAGTTCTAAGAATTCAAGAAAAGAAGAAAGGATGACTTTTTTACTTGTATAAGTAAAAAAATCTGTGAATGTCTAAGGGACATAACTAGGCCAAAAAATAATTTACTTATACAAGTAAATAAAATACACTTGTATAAGTATCCTACAAATTTACTTATATAAGTATATTATAATTACTTCTTCAAGTAAATAAAAATTACTTGTACAAGTAGTACCCCTGACTGACTTACTTTTAAGTCTTTTACATGAATATGTGATGACCTAAAGTTGCATCCCTGTGTGCTGATTTCACATTGATATATTCATCTGCAATGCCCATATATGGAATGCAGCTCATGGTATCCACAAAAGGAGAGAATTTTATTTCAACAACAACAATATATATGTCTGAATTAAGAATTATAAGGATTAAACACATTTTATGCCCCAACCGTATGCAACGAGGTCATTAAGTGTTACCCTTGGAGTGTTTCCTGCAGCTTTTAAAAAGGGCAGGGTAACTTTTTTCTTAGAAGGCACTCTTAGCGCGATTGGCTACGCTTTGAGGGCACCGTTTACTTGATAGACTACAGTTTAAGGGCACCCTTTGCCTGGAGGACTACACTTTAAAGACACCCTTTGTATGGAGGACTACACTTTAAAGGCACCCTTTGCATGGAGGACTACACTTTAAAGGCACCCTTTGCATGGAGGACTACACTTTAAGGGCACCCTTTACATCAATATAAAGGCACTGTTATGGATTGGGATTTAATCAACTATACCATTGTTTCATATTTATTGGTAAAAAATAAAGATATAAATATGTATATTAGGGTATTAATTAGTCCCCTACCGACGAAGTTGAAGGGGACTTTAGGTTTGCACTCTGTCCGTCTGTCCATCCGTCAGTCCTGCAAATCAGTTTTCCACACTTTTTTTCTTCATGCTTGAAGATACTGATTTGATATTTGGTGTATTGTTTTATCATGACAAGTTACAGATCAAGATCAAATTTTGTTCCAGTCTGGTGATTTTGTGCAGAGTTATGGTCCTTTGACTTAGAAAATTCACTCAAATAATCAGTTTTCCGCACTTTTTTTTTGTGATTCTTGAAGATATTAATTTCATAATCATGATAATTGGTATATAGTTTTATCATGACAAGTTACAGTTCAAGTTTGAATTTTGTTCTGGTTTGATGATTTTGTGCAGAGTTATGCATTGGTCCTTGGACTTAGAAAATTCACTCAAATAATTAGTTTTCCGCACATTTTTTCGTCATGCTTGAAGATATTGATTTGAAAATTGGTTTATAGTTTTATTATGACAAGTTACAGATCAAGTTCGAATTTTGTTCAGGTCTGATGATTTTGTGCAGAGTTGTGGTCCTTGGACTTAGAAAATTCACCTAAATAATCAGTTTTCAACACTTTTTTTTCGTCATGCTTGAAGATATTGACTTGATATTTGTTATATAGTTTACACCATGACAAGTTATAGATCAAGTTAGAATTTTGTTCCAATACAATAAATTTTTAACAGGTATTGGACTATGTATTGCCATGCAATACTCACAGCTTGTTTCATTCGTAATAAAATTATCACTTCTAGACTCAGCTAATAGAATCTTGATGGTGCAACTGCCTCATCAATAACTCCAGTTTTACACTTTAATACTGAATCACTGCGGCTGATTGTCTATATATAGCTTAAAGCATGTGTTGTGAAAGTGTGAAGACATGCATGATAAGGAGCATACGCATTGATTTTTAGCTGCTCAAAAGAATTAATGTCAAATACCTTTTGGATTTTACATGTTTATACCAATCAAAGCTACAATTACCCTGGGACTATTTTACAATGTATTTTGTCCCAGAATTACCTTGGCTCATAACCATACAAAAATTTGTAGGCTTTTCGTCTTTTCATGCTCCCGCCATAGCGAAGGGGGCATCAAGTTTTACCCTTGTCTGTCTGTACCTATGTCCGTACGTCCCGAAATTGGTTTCCGTTCTCTAACTTTAGTTTGCCTCAACCAAATGTTATGAAACTTATACACAATGCCTATTACCACAAAGCAAAGGTCAAGGTTGCGTCACTTTGGGGGACATTGGGCGGGTGCATTCGTGTCAGACACATTCTTCTTTTATTTCTATAGGTAATGGACTTTTATTCAGTGTGTGAGTCAATCGCCCCTGAGTTTACACATCTATAACCTCTAGAAAAATGTTTTTAATCCTATAGTATACTTAGCATTTTCAGAATTTTTGAAGTTTGCCTTTGATTAACAAAACAATCATGACAATACAAGAAATAAATAATGGTTTTCTTTTTCAGGACTTTTCTACAAAAACTTGCTACAGTTATACACACTAATGAGGGCTTTTCTGTATCTGATAATACCAATATTGCTAATTAATCCTGTTGCAGGTGAACAAAATGTTGGAGGTAAGGTTTCAGTATTAGATCACATAGCCAATAAGTACAATGTGATCTATTGTGATTGCTTGGCATACATTCTCTGTCTTGTTATATGAATTAAAAAAAAATACATAGAGAAGAAATCAAAGATATTTATACATGTGTTTTCAATATTGGTGGTCCATATACATGATATAGGAGAAAGCAAATAAATTTATGAACTACCACTGTGATACATCTGTAGGTCTAGGTTTTAATCATGGCCAGGACAAACCAAAGACCTGAAAAATGTTTTTGTTAAGAAAAATGTTGTAAGCTTGTAAACTAGCACATAAAAAAAATTTATTCAGCATGTTGGTGCTGAACAAAGCAAGATTGTTAAATAATAAACATAATAAAATTCTTATTAGTCCCCTACCGACAAAGTCGAAGGGGACTTTAGGTTTGCACTCCGTCCGTCTATCCGTCCGTCCATTCAGCTTTCCACACTTTTTTTCCTCGTTCTTGAAGATATTGATTTGATATTTGGTATATAGTTTTATCATGACAAGTTATAGATCATTTTCGAATTTTGTTCCGGTCTGATGATTTCGTCTAGAGTTGTGGACCATAACTCTGGACCATATCTAATGTTAGAGAACTATGTTAACCCATATTTCTGTACAAAGGGAAATAACTCATTTTTTAAAAGATATTCTTTGTTACATTATTTGAAGAATTTTTTGGCAGGTTTATTTGTTATTTACTATAAACTAATTTTCTGAATGCTATAGATATAAAACAAAATTATGAAGAGAAATCCTTTAATTAGATATTAATCTATTTTTATTAATGTATATATTTAGATACATTACATTGTGTAGATAAAAGTTGTTGACATTTTATAGATAAGTTACAAATCTATATTAGTTTGTGACAAATGAAAGAAAAAATATTTGGAACTATTAATTATATTTGATTATAATTTGAAAATAGATATACACTGTATTATATTATATCTAATTTTAGAGAACTATTAATCATATCTAATGTTTGATATTTACTTTTTGTTTACACCATGACAAGTTAAAGAACAAGTTAGCATTTTGTTCCAGTAAAATGAATGTTTACCCGGTAGGGGACTATGTATTGCCATGCAATACTCTCAGAATGCTTGTTCACATTAGTTTTCACTAATATCGGGTAAAAAAAATGTATCGTAAGAATGGAGCTTCCCATAAAACTCACAAACACACTTTTTCATAAATTCTCATGATAGATGCATTTGCTTTTTCCAATGTATTCAGTGGAGACGTGCATACATCCTCTCAGACGTTGAATTTTTGAAAAAAAGGATACATATTTTAAAGTTATTTAAAATCTGGTAATCAACTTCTTAAGACACATGGTATAGTGGTTAACAAAAGCGTGTAGATTAGTGGAAGATAGTACAGTCCAAAAAAATGTTGATACTTTCCAACTCTTCCATTATATTCAACATTACTTCTGTCATGGGTTTTCAATTAATTGCCCAACAACCCTAGAGAAAAAGATCAGTGGAATTGCACTGGAATACCACTGATATTCCATTGTAATTTCCACTGGAATTCCAGTGATTTTCAGTGGAATAATTTGGCTGGAATTCCACTGGAACTACATTGGCATTCCACTGGAATTACAGTGGAAAATCCAGTGTTATTCCACTGGTATTCCAGTGGAATTCCAGCCAAAATATTCCACTGCATCACTGGAATTACAGTGGAAATTATAGTGTTATTTCACTGGTATTCCAGTGGAATTCCAGCCAAATTATTCCAGTGGAATGCAAATGTAATTCCAGTGGTATTTTGCACACACAAACTGATTAACTAATATAAAAATTATGTGTCAGATATAAACTTCTCTTCCTTTCTGAAATTTAAAACTTGCTGTCACTGTACTTCCAACTAGAATTGCCGAATAAAGGTACTCAAATGGAGTCTGCATAAAATCTGTTTCATATCATTGCTGGCAGCTCATATTTAATCCCCTAAAAGTACAAAAATATCCACAAAGAATCAATTGTTCAAGAGGTATTAATGATTCTATGAAGCAATTAATTCAATAGAAACAGTATTATGCATATATATTATATATATCATAATCTTACATTCATTGGAAGCCTAAACTCAAATTAAGTACCCCCCTTTTTTATCCCTTGAAGATAAAACTGGTGACTTATAATTTTCACCAAGTTAATTTACACAATTTAATTTCTACATATCAGATTATCATATACCATTTACATGTCAGATTTATGTCTGTTATGAATGTGACAACAATATATATATTCATTACATTAATTGTCTGTCAAAACTTTCTGATGTTTTGCTCAGATTAAAATCCTAAATATTTTATAGTGCCTCAACAAAATGTATTTTATAATTATCATATGTAAAATCAAATACTTATCTGAAAACATTTGCGTTTGGATTCTCCATTTTGTTTATCCAGCGTAATCATATTTTGATGACGTATGTCAGTGCGTTTACGTTAAGGTGTCAATCTCGCCCCATATAATATCGGCCCGAAGTTGATTCCAGTAACGGTATTCCAGTGAAACTTCCCAAAACCGGTTGCCCGTTGGACCACGAAAAACGGCTTATTTGCGGGGGTTGCCGGTTTGTTGAAATTTGAAATCACCATGAGTTACTTTCCTTTAATATGGGTGTTTGAGAATATTTGAAAATGTATTTTACCTTAAGTAATCAAAATATACGTTTTCCTTGGTGAATTTTAGTTTTGTAAATAATATCTATCGTAAAATACAGCTACAACTTCCATTTCACTTATTTAAAAAAAAAATATTTTGCAGGAATAAAAAATAAAAATACCATACATTAATGATATTTCACAAATAATTAGTAAAAATGTTCTACTGACCCTGAATTAACCGACCGTGCAAGGGCTGTATAGCCAGTCTAGGTCGTTAAAAACTTCCATTTGTTGTTGACCCACAATCTAATCAGTACTCACTATACTGTTTCATAATTACCTGTACGTAAGTGTGCTGTAAGTGTAATTGTTACAAACTGTCATAACACAATGAAAGAAGGTATTGAAACTAAATTGACAGGTGAACAGTAATCACAGCCTCGGAGTATTCAGTTGACCTGATTGACCGGACGATCTGAAGATTACATTACAAATGATACGTACTGATCAGTGATTTCAGATGACAAGGCCCGTTTTATGAGGATGAATTTTATTGATTTTAATTATTTTAATTATCTAAATACAAAAATACCGGCCGGTTCCCGATTTCAAGGAATAACCATTTAATTAAACGCAAATCTGCTGGGTCTTCTTGATTTGGCCGGTATGGTGGGAGAACTGTATTCAGATCGAGAAATTTCAATGTATAAGAAACAAATTAGGGTGTTGCATTAACTTTTTTCAACAGAATGGCAATTTTATTTTTTGGCTTTGCACGTTGCTGCAGAAGGTGTTAAAACAACAATTAAATAGCTTTTCAAGACATCATAATTATTTGGACTAGGTACAAATGAATTGTACTGATAATAGCTATTAGAATTTAATATAAGTACTTTTTTTCTACCAAAAATAATGCCCATCAGTATCTTAATGATAAATCACGCAACCCTGCTTTAATTTTTGAAAACAATCTTTTAAAGTGCTCTCAGTTTTTGTTCATGGTTTTTCATCACTAAATTATCAAACTACTCATGAGCTTTTTTTATGTACACTTGGTTTGAATCCAAGGTATTTTAATATCATGAAAATAGTTATAAATGCATGTATATATATTTAAATCAAGGAACAATGTATTCCAGTGGAATTACAGTGGTAAAATTTTCCAATGTCATTATTACAGTGGAATTACAGTGGTAAAATATTCCAATGTCATTCCAGTGGAATCACCAATCAAATTCCACTGGAATTTTTAGTTTTATATGATTTACCAGTGGAATTCCAATGAGTCACTGGAATCCAGTGGAATCAACTGATATTCCACTGGAATTCCATTGACATTTTCTATGGGGAACGCTCACAGTGCTTTAAGGAAAGGGAATTGATTATCTTTTTATGGCTTGCCCAGTTTAAAGTGAAATTAGTCAACCTGTTTACGTCAATTTCGAAAATCTATTACTTCTAAAATAACAAAGGTACAATTTGTTAGCTGGCATGATGTAAAAACGACGAATCAAAGAATTCAACTTTATACATAACTAATATAGGACAATGGTGCTGATTAAAAAGTACACCATTCCAGGCCCCTTATGTTTTTTTCATAATTAATATTACCAACAATTAACCAGTTTCGGGTCGAATCCGATACCGATACCAATAGTATATGTCACATGTAGTTTCTGGTTGTATGTATGTATGTATGTATGTATGTTCTGTATCTCCCTTCTTTTGATAGGAGCACCACCATGGGTTATGGTGTAAAGGAGGATATTTAACACTCTAAATCTGTACAGATTTAATGTGAGCATTTGCCTACCCAGTTTCCAAGCCTGGCCGTGAATGGTCTTACTGCCAGAAAGTTATCTTTCCCCAAAAACAGTAGTAAGAAAACCAGGACGGGGTTCAAACAGAAAGATTTTGAAAGCAGAAAAAACTGCACCTTTATAATCATCATGACTTTATTTAAGAAATAATTCTTTCATGCCATGCTTTATGCTCATTTTAACATGGGTATGCATTATATTTGTCAATATCTTTATACCGAGCGTTAGCGAGGTGTAAAATATTGACAAATATAATGCCTACCCATGTTAAAATTAGCATAAAGCATGGCATGATAGAATTATTTTGGTTCTGATAGGAATATTTAGAACTTTTGTACTTCGAAGCGGACCTATAATACACATTCAAAAGGCAGCCATTTTGATTTGATGAACCAAAAACGTTATAGAAATTCAACAGTTGAACGATCAAAATATTAATATATAAATGTAAACTTACTTTTAGAATGATTTTATTTGATTTCTTCCTAGCGAGCAACACCCACAAAACTATCCATTTCGACCTTAGACGTCAAT